AGACGGAGCTGACCTTCCAACCTTTCCATCTTTCAGCTTCACCTGCAACTCCCTTTTCCCTGCCATTATCTGCATGGATGCCTGTGGATTTCATTTCCATATTCATGGTGTTTTAATGACCCTGTAATATCTTTATGTTCTTCAATTAAATGTGGATTTTTTTTTTCCCTTCTGCAGATTAGCATCTGCAAAGGATCATTTGTGGCATTTGAGTAGAGGAAGGGAAGCCTGTTCAGGGGGGAGACGGGGGTTAATTAAACTTCAGAGCACAGCAGGCTCCACTGCCAAATATCCTTCTTCCAATGGGACCAGGAGGATGAGGAGGGAGCAGCTTTACAATCAGACCGCTGGGCCGCCCCTGGGACAGCTCCTGTGGGTGTTGGAGTGGCTTAAGCACACACGAGGCCAAATCTGCGTGGAGGTCGCTGTCACGGGCTGCAAACCAGGGCTGAACCACTCTGGTGTCACCCCAGTGCATCAGGGCCGCTGCAGCTGGGGCAGCCAGGCTGTCACCAGAGTCCTGGCCAGGCCATTAGAGCTCCTATCGCTCCATCTCCATCCATCCCCGAGGCTAATGGACATCTCTGCCGCTGCACCGCCCCCTCCCTGGCACCCTAATTGGGTTTCAGCCCTGTAAGATGGATGGGGCTGGGCTGAGAGTGGAGCAGGGAAGAACAGGAGGGGGCAGAGGCAGCTCTGAGTAGGACAGAGCCCCTTTGCCATCCATCCACCTCCTGCCCCTCTGCTCCACTGGGGCATCTCACATGGCCTTGCAGGACGGCTGGGGACAGCCAGGTCCCAGCAGCCCGGGGGAGCAGAGCTGGAGTGGTGTCCAGGGGCTCTCAGCTCCTCCCTGATGGGACTTGGTGACCACAAGCAGCCCCAGCACGCTCCGTGCCTCCCACACATCTCCCCCCTCCTTCTCCCCTGGTTCTTTTGAAGCTGCAGCTGTGAACAATATGTTGTGAGTGTGAGGCCCGGGAGTGGCGTGTTTGGCACATTGAATAAAGATGGGGACGAGAAATGCCTTCTCCTGTGGCTGTTTGATGTGAAGGGCAGCACTGAATTCATTAGGAATGCTGCCAGAGCCTCTGTCAGGGTGCAGGCAGCCAGAGAAGCACAGGCTGGTGTCCTGGGAAGGTGCCACCCCGTGCAGTGGCACACCCGGGCATGTGGTCACAGGCTGGCCAAGGCAGAGAACCTGTGTGTGCACGGGGCTGGAAAGGAGGGCATCATCTCCATTCCTGGGGCTGCAAAGGAGGGCATCATCCCTTTTCCAGGGGCTGGAAAGGAGGGCACCATTCCCATTCCAGGGGCTGGAAAGGAGGGCATCATCCCTGTTCCAGGGGCTGGAAAGGAGGGCACCATTCCCATTCCAGGGGCTGGAAAGGAGGGCACCATTCCCATTCCTGGGGCTGGAAAGGAGAGCATCATCCCTGGTTATCATCCCTTTTCCAGGGATTGGAAAGGAGGGCACCATTCCCATTCCAGGGGTTGGAAAGGAGGGTATCATCCCTGGTTATCATCCCTGTTCCTGGGCCTGTAAAGGTGGGCATCATCCCCATTCCAGGTGCCATCCAAGCCCACACATCCCTCCAAACTCTGCTGCCACAGGGTTGCAGCTGTGGTGAACAAGGTGCTGCACAATCCACCTTTATCCACTCCACAACACTCCCACCCCTCCTGGGTGATCCAGGGGAAGAAGGGGGACACAGGGGTGCAGGATGGGGGGCCTGGCTGCAGGGAGGGGTGTGGGATGGCCAAGCTGCTCCCTCCCGGTCCTGCTGCCACCTCCCGCTGCTCCAGAAGGATGCAGCATTTTATCATCATCCTGTGAGGCTGACAGGCACCAGAATTAATGAGTTCCTCATCAGCACTCCTTCATTTAGCTCCCTCCCTCGGGGGGTTACACACCCACAGCCCCCGGGAAGCACAGAGGGAATGGTGGGGAGGGGGTTAGGACACGGGCACAGGTAAATAAACACACTGTGTGCCCAGCCAAGGGCTGCTGGGGACAGGCCCAAGGCTGGAGGGGGTCAAGCTGCCCAGGCAGGTGGATGAGGGGTTCCTGCAGACATGGAGACCCTGCCCTGGCAAAGGGGCATGGGGACCAGGCATGGCTGGCTTCCACACAGCCCTCATCAAGCATCTGCTGTTAATTACTGACACAGCATACATGTCAAATGCAGCTTCACCGAGTGCAGGAGTGACCCCATGGAAGCCAAGGAGCTGTGGGGAAGCAGCAGGTCAGGGGGACGCTGCCAGTGAGCCGAGTGTCCCTTGGCAGCAGAGGGACTTTGCTGTCCCCTGGGTGTCCCTCTGGCTGTCACCACACAGCAGAGCACACAGGGATAAGACATTCCTGTCCACTCTGCCTGGCCTTTTTGGAATGTTGACATCCTGAAAGGCCATCCCAGGGGTTGTTTATTTGGCAGCTGTGGCAGCACAAAGGCTGCGAAGCTGCAAAGCCTCGGCGTGCCCACTTGAGCTGCTGTCAAACCACATCCTCCTGCCCTACCCTGCGGTACCAGCTGGGATTTCAGCACGTGGGGTGGCAGCCTGGGCATCCTCTGACCTGCAGCACTCATCCCAATTGTGCAAGCCCAAGCCTGCACTGGATTTACGTCTGTAGATATCACACTCATTTTTGTGAGCCATGCAGAGACCGTGATAAGTATTTTGATTGTAAATAAATTCCATTTGTGGGTTGTGATGAAGTGGAAAGAGGAAGGGGGGGAGGCAGGCTGGGAGGAGAACAGGATGAGAAGGGAACTATATAGCTGTTGCAGGCACATTCTTCTTTCTTTCAGGATTTTTCATAGAAGAGCACAGAGGAAAGAAAGAGAAAACAATTTCTATTTCTGCTCCTTGTTTTCCCATGTAGAATGTGTTTGGAGAATTGTTTACCTGGGGTGATTGCTTGATTGGATTCTGGTGAGGATTGTTTGAGTCTGATAACCAATCCAATCATCCTGTGGCTGGACTCTCAACAAAGGGTCACAAGTTGTTAGTTAGATATAGTAGTTAGAAAAAGTAGGTTTGTAGTTTTAGTATCTTCTTTAAATAGGATATTAATGTATTATAATATAGTTATAATAAAGAAATCATTCAGCCTTCTGAGCTGGAGTAAGACATCAGCATTTCTTCCCACCGGGTTCACCTACATTTACAATATAGCCATGATGCTCACCTTGACCCAGCCATCCCCGCCTCAGAAAACCTGGAAAAGACCCCTGGGAGCTGCGTGGGGCAGCTGACAGCCAGGGCGGATCCTGACACACCGGCACAGCTCAGAAGTACCAACACTCATCGGAAAGCCGGCACGGGTGTGGTGTTTGGAGTAGCAGAGCTCCATCTAGCATTGGTGAGAACTGATGCTGCTCCAAAGCCTGATTCACGGCTGCTTTGGTGAGCCTTGGAGCTGTTCTGTCTGTCAGCAGCCTCAAAAAACAGAGTTTTTTATAGTCTGAGCTTGTCTGTGCCCTCCTCGGCATCGAGCCCATCCTGCTCCCACAGCGGGACACAAACCTCCCCTCCCCAGGCAGAGTCAGTTCTTACTGTGGGAATCCAGAGCTTCCCTCTGGCTGCCCTGGCAGGGCTGGGACCCTGGCAGGGGTCAGGAACCCCCCTGGACAGAGCCCCCAGAGACACTGTCTGTGATCTCTGTCCATGGAAAAGAGTTTTCAATCTTACAGGGTGAATTACCAGCTCTGAGTGTTTGATATGAGTAATAATTAAGTGTGGCACGGGTGCAAAAGTAGAATTTTAGGTTTCTAGATTAGGGGTTCAAAGGGGACAAGATGGAGGAAATTGGGTGTGCCTTGTCCTTTTTCTCCTTCTTCATGCCCTCCATGTGTCACTGTGGTGTTGGCATTTTTCTGTTGGTTCAGGCTGGGGACACACTGTCCAACGTAGGTGACAGATATTGGCACGTTATTGTAAATCCAGCACAGGTAGTTTGTGGTATTTAATGTTTGTACCATCCCACTGAGGGCAGAGCCCCACACGCTGCCCTGCAGGACAGAGCTGCGGCAGGGCAGCAGAACATGTTAGAGATAAACAGAATAAACAACCTTGAAACAGCACAGACCAATTATGGCTTCTGCTTTGGCAAGGAGGCAGAAAGACAGAGACTTTTTGCAATTTCAGAATCATCAATACCTCAGATTCCGACACTCTACCAATACTGACACCTCCTAGCAACATTGATTTGTTAACCCTTGTAAACTTTTCTTTATCTACCATCCGTTGTGGCTAAACACTCTGTGGCTGAGCTGCATCAAAGAGAAAGAATTTGCCCCTTGTCTCAGGGTTGCAAAGCTTTTCCAAGAAGCAGAATTGCTTACCAGGCAGGGCATAGAGGGAGGAGAGAAAGGAGGGCAGGATGTAGGATCACCCTGGTTTTGCAGGCAGAACAACCCAGGATTCAGCCAAGGCCACTTCACCCATGTGGGATTTGTTGTCTCTGTCCACAGAGCAGCAATTGTACAAGAACTGTTGTGGGAGTGTCCTGACCAATCATCCCAAACACCTGCAGAGCCTGAACCACCCGGAATTCCACTGCCCTTCAGGCTTTTTAAAATGCCTTTGAAAATCTCAGAATGCCGAATGTCAGGCACTAAAATCTCTCATTTAGGATGATGGCTTTGGCACCAGGGATGGGCAATGTGCTGCCTTCAGAGCCTGGTCCTTCTGAGGACAGAAATTGGTGTTCCTGGCAGTGGAGGTGTCTCCTGATCACTGAGGGAACAGCAGCTGCTCAAGAGGATTCAGCCTGGTTCTGTCAGTGCAAACACTAAATTGGAGAAGCAGAAGCTGGCAAGGGCACTGCTCCAGGATTATAACCAGTGGGGATCTCCCCAGACCTTAACCCAAAACTCCAGGCCTTGAACCAAACCTCAGGCCTCGACACAAACCCTCAGCCTCTCTGTTTTTTGTGGTGACCGAGCACCCAAATGCACTGCTGGGAACAAGGCAGAAATCAGCAGTTTTTGCAGACGTTTTTCTGAAGCTGGAGGCGAGGTTACCCTTTTTATTGAACAAACAGCATCTGCAAACTGTTAGTCCTTTGAGAAGAGCCAGACAGCTCCAAGCAAGGGAACAAAAGGCTGGTGAAGTGCTTTGGTTCGCAGCTCGAGGGCCACCACCACTTCAGAAGCACTTGATAACACTTTGCTTCCTGAGCTCAGAAGCATGAGCAAAACCCAGCATGGAGCCAGCTGCCAGGGTGGAGAGGCTGCTCCCAGAGACTGAGCACGAGGCCTCTGTGGGCACAGCCAGAGGCAGGTCCGGGCACAGGCACTGGCATGAGCTGGATGATGCCCCACAGGACCCCTTGGATGGTGAGATCTGGTGGCAAATGTCCCTGTGCACCATGTCACTGCACACCCTGAGGGAAGGGCTGCCTTGCTGGACTCCTTGAGGGATCGGGGGTCCCCGAGGGGCTGTGGGGATGGAGGGGAGCCTGGCTGGGCCATTCACGTCAGGAATCCCTGGAGATGGGTTCATTCATTGTGCTGGAACGTTGTTCTCTGGAAGCATGGGGACATCACCAGTTAAACAGAGCTTGGAAAAGCCATCAGGCAGCTTCCACACGTGCACCTCTGGGGTTCTGGAAGCACAGCCACAGCAAGGAACGATGAGATAGTACCTACACCCCAGTCCTTGCAAGGCACAGCCAGAATGGGGATGGGAATTGAAAACTGGGAATGGGAAACTGGGGATGGGAATTGAAAACTGGGAATGGGAAACTGGGAATGGGGACGGGAATGTGAACTGGGAATGGGAACTGGAAACTGGGAATGGGAACTTGGAATAGGCCTTCTCACTGGGCTCCAGCCCTTATTTCCCTCTTCTGTGAACTCTGACATGCAGTGACTTTTAATCACAGGAGTGATCAATGAGGATCCCTAAAAGCGCTACCTGGAGGTTCAAGCTTCGTGACACATGAAGAAAGCTGGGCTTGTGAGCACGGCTTTTCGTCCCACCTGTGTGGTCCCTGCTGCGTCCCCACGGCCTGGAGGAGCCGGGCACCGTCCCTGGGCCTGCTCCGGCCGGAGTGACCCGGCACAGGGCGCGGGACCGGCACTGCCCGGGGGATTCATTTCCCTGAGGGGCTGGAGCCGCGGGGCCTCACAGCCGCGGGGCCTCACAGCGGTGGTCCCGGCAGCGACCAAGCGCTCCAGCCGCTACTCGGGCAGCGTTGCTGCGGGCACCGGCAGCCTCCACTCTCCTCGCTCCGTGCCACCCCGCGGTACAAGACCCGAGGCCGGAGCCGCGGAGCCCCGAACCGGCGCCGGGCCCGGCGCGGCCCCGACTGCGGCCCCGCCCCGGAGCCCCTCAGGCCGCGCCGGGCCCGGCCCCGCCCCCGCGGGCTCGGCCAATCAGCGGCCGCCGCCGCATCCGGGCCCCGCGCCCCCTGCCGCTCGCGCTCGGCCATGGCGGAGGTGAGCGCGGCGCCGCCGCCGGGGTCGCGCCGGGCCCGGGGCCGCTCCCGGGGCCGCTCCGGGGCCGCTCCGGCCGGGCGGGCACAGCGGCACCCCCGAGCCGCGGCTGCCCGGGGCCGCCGTCCTGCGGCTGCGGGGTGGTGGGCCGGCGCGGGCCGCCGAGGCCCTGGGCGGCAGCGGGCCGAGGGGCGGGGGCGGCGGGGCCGGGCCGGGCGCGCCGGCGGGAGCGGGCACGGGAAGGGAGAGACAGGGCGGGACACGGCGGGACAGCGGGGCGGGCACCCCGCGGCCTGACCCGCGGCAGAGGGGCGCGAAGGGGCTGCGGGACCGCGGGGGGAGAGGCAGAACGGACCGGGAGCCCCGGGGCTGTGGCCCAGCAAGCCCCGGCACTGTTTGGGGTCGCTGGAGATGGGCTCAGGGGTGTGGAGCTGTGGGAAGGGGCTCTCAGGTGAGAGGCGCCCTGAGCACTGAGGTCAGGAGCCTGGGGATGGCAGAGGGCTGGGAACGTGTCGGGAATGGTTGGTTTGGTTTGGGTAGCCAGGGTGGTTCTCGCCACCTTGCCTGGGAGCCAGGTGGGGACTCCCCACTGCCTCCCCGATTGCTGTGTCGTGTTTGCCTTGCTGGCTTTTGCTGAAACGTTCCTGCCATTGCTCCGTCACACTTCGAGCTGGTGATGCCATTGCCCATCAGGTCGTGACATGTCCCTCAAATATCCTTGACCTGTTGTGACACATGCACACTTCATTTCTATGGCATGACCCTCATGGTGGGCACAACATGGAGCAAAGGTGCTGGGAAGATTTCCAGGTACTCTGTGGCAGGATTTCAGATCCCCATTGGCACTGCCAGCATCTTGTGTGACAGCAGGGCTTCTCTTCCAGGTTATTTCAGTGTTCTACATCAGGAAGGTGCTGCCTGGCCTGTTAGCCCACCCACCATGCTTTGGCCTTTGGTGGAGCACAAGGTTGTTGCATTCACTTGTGCCAGAGTGTTGTTTGGGCATGTTTTTGAGCCAGAGTGCTGCCTTGGCACCCTGCATGTCTGTGGCTCAGAGAGGTCTGTCCAGGGGACATCCAGGAATTGTCACTGTCTCTTGGATGAGGTTTGGCTGTGGAGCATCTCAGGGTCTCTGATGGAGCCCTGATCTTCATGAGCAGTGCAGAAGGTCGTCTGTGTGTTCTGTCATCTGTTTATTCTTCGGTCTTTCAGAGACATAACTTGCAGGACAAATCTCTTTCCATCCCTGCTGCTTCCCTCTGGCTCCAGCTGGGGTTTGTGGACAATGGCCCCATGGCCAAGGAGTGTGCACAAGGCAGAGGAAGCAGGAACACTTCTCACTGAATATGAAATATGTGTTAGACTGGCTCAAGAAACTGTGTTAGTTATTGAAGGGTAGCACTAGAAAGGGAAATTTCTTTTTTTTCCTCACTTTTTTGCAAGAGTGGCTTCAGTCTGGAAGGTTTTATTAGGGTAGACACAACTGGCCTCATGTTGGGAAACGACTTTGTCAGGGCAGAGAGCTCAGACTCTGCCTCTGCCCTGTGTGTCCTAAATGATGGCTGAGCTTCATTCCATGTGCTCAAAGCCTTGAGTCCACACCTAAGGAGGGGATGCAGGAGTCACCCAGAAATACAAACGTCAGCGTGAGTAGTTGACCAACCTCAGAGTAACTTCTGAGAGGAAAGTTACTCTTATGCCTGAGCAGCAGAAGCTGAGAGGAGGAAAGCAGTGCTGGGGATGGTAAAGTGAAATTAAAGGAATTTAATCTCCCTTTTTGACCCTTCAAGATTATGACCCATGGGCATAGGAGCAAATTTCCAGCATCACAGTGCACTGGGAGAATAACTCCTGGAATCCCTCAGCAGCAGCAGGAGCAGTGACACCCTGGCCCAGAACCATTCTCAGTGTTTCTGGTGCGTGCCATGCTCTTGCATTTCTGCCTCCTGTGTGGTGTTTGGATTTGAGGTGTCAGGCAGCACCTACCTCGCCTTCTGACCAAGTAACTCCACATCCCATGGCATTGGTAATCAGGGCAATCAGAAATATTCTGCATTTTTAAGCCTTTCTCTGTTATTCCTTTGATTCTTGTTCCTGTGGTCTTCTGGATTTGTGAGCAATCTGAGGGATTGTTCTGTTCCACATGTATTCAAATTTGGGTGTGGAATGGGCCATTTGCTTTGTCTGTCACTTGTTTCCTCAGCCCCAGCAGAGCAGTGCTGGTTATTCCATGGTGACTCCAGCATTCCCATTGCTCTGGTGCTCTGTTACTGTTTCAGAGAATTAAACTCTTGATTAGTTATGGAATTGTCACGGTGTTGTAGTGGCCAATCCTCCTACTTTCAGCACCTGGTTATTAATTGGAGATCTTGTTCCTGAAGTATTCTTGACACCTTTTCAAGGCAGCCCATCCATGCCAACAGCTTCAATCTTTGTTTTCAGAGGCCTTATTGATCCCCAGGCAAGGAGGTGCCATTGATCTACAGATCATTGCCTGAGCAAAGTGAGTTCTGTAGGCTGTCCAAGACCTGGAGGGAGTAAGGGTACACCACACCCCTTCTATGAACCACTCTTGTTTTCTTGGGAGGATTTATCCCAAGAGGGTTTTGTGCTTGGTCACATTCCAGCAAAGCCCAACAAAGGCACATTGACACTTTCCTGACTTACAGAGCCATTTCCTGGTATGACCATCCTCAAAATGGAGTCTGTCCCCTTCTCCTTTCATCATCCCATAACTTCTCCCTTCTCTTTTTGTGTGCACAGTTGTAGAGCTCTGTCTGGAGCCAGAGCGATCTCTGGGGGGATTATCTTGGGGGATGATGGACTGGAGGCATCTTCTTGGTTATTATGGAATTTCCAGTCTGTATGTTGATAGCTGAAGGAACTTAATCAGAACCCACAGTCTCTAGTGGCTTTTTTTTGGTGAATACTTTGCTTTGTTGTTAGAGGATAGATTTTAATGTGAAGCTATATTGTGTTTTTGTAAATAAATTGTAAGAAGCTCCTATGGAAGGCTGTAAATATCCTGGCTCCAGCTGTGTAAGTGACTAGTGATGGTGCAGAGCTGAGATTGTTGATGGCTGAGTATCCTACAGAGATGTCACTGGGAACTTGGGGACTGACTCTGAGATTTTCTTCTGCAGTCGGGTGCTGTCAGTCACCCAAAAGCTTTGCTTGTTCACCTCTTTGCTCCCTGCCTAGGCTGAACTTGATGAACATGCAGCAGATTTTCTGTCTGGGCTGTTTTCCTCAGCCCATGCTGCTGCCTGACCTTGTGACCAAGCACCAAATGCCACCCTGCAGGTGCCTGTTCTGGGGCTCTGCTTGCTGGGCTGTTTCTGTGCTCCTGGGTGCAGTGGAGGCATCAGGGAGAAGCCAGGGTGTTGTGGCTGGCTGCTCTCTGAAGGGTCAGTCCCTAAAAATGCTGTGCTCAGACACAATGTGTGTGTTTAGAGTAACAGCTGAGGGTCCAGGTCGTTCTTTAAGTGAAGATCTAAGCCACAAAGGTCTGTGGTCTCAGATTCTGGGGGGATAAGTAGTGAAGGGAGTGCTGGAGGTAAAATAGATGGAATGGAGGCACATGGACTGAGGGGAAGGTGAGGAGGCCAGGCAGAACTGTTCCCTACACCTGATGAGCTCTTTTGAGCAGCACAGTTGCTAACACTGCCCTCTGGGGCTTTGGGTAACTTTTGCTTTGAGCTTCAATGGACTTGCTGGTGGGGTGAAGTGGGTGGAAGGGTGGTGTGCTTTTAAGGAGAGCTGTCTCAGCTGTTTTTCTCTTTTCCTGAAGGCCTCTGTTGGCCGGCAGAGCCCCAGGGTGGTTCCATACCCAGCCCGTGGCCTATGTCCTGGAGATCCCGCCCTTCAGAGCGCTGCAGGTACCTCCAGGCTCACCTCCTTCTGTCTGTTTGTCTGGCTTCCAGAGAAACAAAGTTAATGTGATCACTTCCCTCCTCCTTGCAACACCTCCCAAGCCGCTTGGTTGATTCCCATGCTGTTTGACAGGGGAGGAAAGGCTTAAAGGTGCCAAAGCTCCTGCAGGTGTCTATTTGATCATTCTTGAGTAAGGAGTGATTACCTTGAGTAAGGGGGAATTACCCTTTTCCCCCATTTTTTCCTCACTTTTATTGGTGTGTCCCAAGACTCCTTCCCAGATTTCACAGGATTTATCCTCGTTGCAAGTGTGGTCATGGCAGGTGAGGCCCTGGCCAAGGACACAGGTGCAAAGGCACTGGCAACAATCCCAGAAAAGCACCTCATGGGCCTGCAGGGAGGGAAAAGGGACAAAGGGAAATCCATGAAAGTAGGAGATAAAAAGAAATATTTAGCCATTCTTGAGTAAGGGGTGATGCCAAAGCTCCTACAGATGTCTATATGATCATTCTTGAGTAAGGGGTGATTACCCTAAAAACGCCCCCAGGCGAAGGAAAGGCTGCAATGTGTGCACACAGGTTGTGACACCAGCAAATCCAGTGAGGAGTGAGATACAAATACCCAGAAAAGCTTCAGATCCAGCTTCCAGTCAGTTGTGGGACTCAAATGTGCACAGAACCAGGCTTTGTGCTGATGAAGTCACTGCTGCCAGTTGTGATCTCTGTTCCCCTTTGTTCTGCCTAATCTATTCCTCTGGCTTATCATATCTGCACACACACACAAGAAGGGATCATCCCTGCCTTTGTTGCATCTCAAGATTTGGTCCATGGTGGTGCTAGTGTCCAACTTCTTCTGATCCCTGCAGTTGTGTCAATGGGCTCAGCTGATCATCGACTGAACCTGGCAGAGATCCTTTCCCAGAACTACGGTGTGAGGGAAGAAAGGGAGGAAGATGATACTCAGGAGAAGCAGAAATCTTTAGAAGAGCTGGAGAAGAGTTTCAGTGCCTCTCAGGTAAAGGCAGCAGGGGAGGGGAAGGGAAATTACCTGGAGGATTTGCTTGTTTGCTGTGTGAAGCCCTGACTTCAGCTGTGGGTGGTCCCACAGAGACCTCAGTGGAACACAAATTGATTTTGGTGACAGGGAATGTCTCTTCAGGCCAGGCACAAGAGTGGTACAGGGATTTGCTCTTTCCCTTCCTCTGCTTTAATACAGTTGTGCTGTCTGGCACCTATTTGAAATCTAGAATAAAAGATAAAGGTATTTTAAAAATGCCCTAGACTGTATTGCTCTGGGGTAAAAGTTCCTGTCTTTTCCATACCTTTGAGAGGGACAGGTTACAGTGAGTCCCAACAGTGACACCTGAGGCTGCTCAGAGCCCCCAGAGGAGCAGAGGTGCCCTGACTGCCTCTGCCTGTCTGTGTTCCAGCTGGTGTGGTGCTCTTGTGGTTGTTCTCTTCCTGATGCAGCTTTGTCCTCCTCTTGCTCAGAGCAGTGAAATGCCATTTGAGGAGCTGCTCGCACTGTATGGCTATGAGGTGTCAGATCCCATCTCGGAGCAGGACAGCGAGAGCAATGACATCACTCCCAACCTCCCTGACATGACTCTGGATAAGGTGAGAGCAGCTCTCTGCCTGGGTGTCTGCACGTGGGGTTGAGGTTCCCCCATTTCAGAGGGGTTGGAAGGGGCCTGCCTAGTTCGGGTGTCCCAGTGAGGAACACCAGGTGCAGAAACACCAGTGTAAAGTGTTAAGAGGAGAAGGGAGAAAGGATATCTGTTTCAAAATGTAAAAACTCTGTATGGAGATTGGTTACGAGTATTTGCACATCCATGCTGGTGTGTGAAGAGCCAGGGAAAGTTTGTATCTTCAAAGTTTGTATAAAGCCATGGCTCCTCTTGTGCTAGCTCAAGTCTGTAGAAAGTGGAGGTTTTTTGGGGGTTGGTTTTTTTTACCCTTCTTCCTCCTTCAGGATCTTTGAGATATTTGCTGTGAGTGCAGCTCTACAGAAAGGGATGCTTGCTCATAGTGTCTGGCTTCCATAGGAAGCCACTCATGACACTTGTTAAAGTGCTTCTAGGGAAAATAGTCTGGGTGTGGTGGGAGTGTGAGAGAGAATCTGTCTTTGGACAAGCTGTGGGAGGGTGAAGAGATCTGTGGATGTGGCCACTGTTGGCCAAAAATGCTTTTACTCTAGGCCTCACTTCCCCCTCGTGTATTTTTTTTAATTTAAAAATATTTTTCACTTTCTTGTTGTTGTTAAAAGGAACAAATAGCGAAGGATTTGCTTTCAGGGGAAGAAGAGGAGGAGACACAATCTTCAGCTGATGATCTGACTCCATCCGTCACGTCCCACGATGCATCGGACTTATTCCCAAACCAGCCTGGCTGTATGTGTCACTAGTTCCTAAGTAGCTGCTGTTCACTTTTACATATGATGTGCAGGGGAGGGTGAGAATGGTTCTCTTAATTTTGTCAGTCTCCTGACATCAGATTTTCCACTTTTCCTCCTAGGGACTGTCTGCATGGCAGAGGCGTTACCGGGCTTTGGGTAGGACAGGACAGAGCGTTGATGAGCAGTGGGATGAGGGGAGAATTTTCTCAGAATACTGAGAGAGTGGGAATTGTTTTGCTGCCTGCTGTAATTGCAGTCTGAAAGATCAGTACCTCATCTGACATCTCTGCAAGTGAATAAATTCAGTAGTAGTAATGGAGTGATGTATTGTGGCAGTTCCTAAATGTTGGAATATATGTGGGAAGCCAAAGCGCGTGACAGGGACTCTGCACGAAGTGATGTTATTTCTTCTGCTGTTTTGCAATATTAAGGAGTCTGAGCTTCCCCAAGTTGGCCATCCATGTGGCAAGTGTCCAAATTCTTTTACTTAAAGTGAGAAAATTAAAATACAGGTAAGTTGTCACTGTAGACCGTGCTGAAAGGGACTTTAGGACAGAAAATGAAGGGAAAGAGAGGGAACGTAAAGGAACAGAATAAAAAATTTGTAACTACAGATTTTTTCCTTTCCCACAAAGCAAACAACTTCCTTGCTGATGAAGACAAAGAGCCATGTTCATCACCATGTGCTTCCTCCATGGCTGAGGACTCGGAGGTGGATTCCATCCCATCCAATGAGTGTAAGAAGGTAAATGACCCGAGTGCATTGGGAAAGGGCACTCCTGAGTTTGAAAAATGCATGACACCAAAGCACTATGCTATTTCCCCAACTGACTTCTTAATGCCTTGCATTTTGTGGGTGGCAGTGGCAGATGTGGATTACAATAGGGGGTTTTGATATAATCTTGAAATTATCTTCTGTGTCAGATAAGGGAAGTAAGTCTGTTGTGCCTTGGTAAATTAAATATGCAGCCCTATAAAGGTGAAATGCTCTGCAGTATTTCCAGCAGGATTTACTGAGAAGGAACCATCTTTCTAAAGAGAGGAGCAGGCTTCCAAATTCATCCTGGCTGTGAAGGTTGCAGTAGAACCTCTGCATTGCTTTATTTCCAGCCTTAGCTGCTTGCCATAGATCCTTTACATTAAAACTATGTAAATGCTGAAGGTCCCCACTGTGTCATCTGGTTGGTAGTAAATCTCTTAGTTACCCTATAAAATAGTCAGGGTTCACTAGAAACAATACTGACAGAGGGGGATACCAGTAAATAAGTCAGCCTTGTGGTGGTGTAGTCCCTAAATCACGAAGTACAGCCTGCGTGGAGTGTTTCCCGTTTCAATTTTCTCACCTCTCTGTCATGGGATTTCAGGAGATCATGGTTGGACCTCAGTACCAGGCCACTGTTCCCATCCTCCGTTTAAACAGGCACAGGCAAAAAGGTAAGGCAGCCTCTTCTTTGTGCCTGTTTTGGGGGTAGGGCTGCTGGCAGGAGGTTCTGATGGGCTCTGGATCTCCAGTCCTGCTCTGGATCTCCAGTCCTGCTCTGGATCTCCAGTCCTGCTCTGGATCTCCAGTCCTGCTCTGGATCTCCAGGCTCGGCAGCTTTCGGTGCTGACACTCAGATTTACTGGCTGAAACGAGCCTGAGTTAATAGGACTGGGAACAAGGGACAGAATTGGTGAAGCTCACTGAGAACTGGGTTGGTGTGACAGGAGGGGGTCTCAGCTGTAGCCAAAGAGAAGGAACACCCATCTGGGGATGCTGTGATTTATTCTCTCTGATGTCTTCCTTAAGTAGTGAGTTAGTGTCATTCAGTGCTCCCTGGAGGTGATCTCTTTCTGATTTTGGGATTTCTGCAGACTAGACAGAGGTGCCTTGATTTGCAGATTGTGTCCAGTAATGAGTGCAGTATGAGTGCCAGCTTGTTGAGCTTCTGGAAATTTTAGAAAGCTAAAATGTTCTTTATTTGCCAGGATTAATTAATCAAAACAGCAATCTTTGAGAATATGATAACAAAAACTTTGTCAGCCAACCTTTCTGAAACAATGGAAACAAGCTGAGCCTGTGCCAAAGGCCCTAAAAGAGATATAAAGAGCTTATCTGCCTCCAAAATCAGGAGGGAACATGCAGTGCCTTGAGAGATGTTTGTCATCTCTAGTGCCAAGCTGGAGTACCAAGCAAAGATTTCCTCCCTCCTCTGTCTCCCCCATGCCTGTCCGTGCAGACCACTTCTCAAAAAGCAGCAGAATTCTCTGTTTGATTATCTTATTTCAGTGCTTTTTCTGTTAGCCTATGAGAATGAAGATCAGCTGCTTTGGGACCCAAACATCCTCCCCGAGAGGGAGGTGGAAGAGTTCCTGTACCGCGCTGTGAAGCGGCAGTGGGACGAGCTGTCCAGCACCAGCCTGCCAGAGGGAGAGGTGGTCAAGGACAACGAGCAGGTGAGCCCAGGGCTTCCTGCAGCCCACACAGAGCCAGGTGGTGCTGGCCCAACAGTGCCACGTTCCCTACAGAGGGCACAGTGAGGTCAAACTCCAGTGATCCTGGTGGATAAGTGAGGGTGTGTGCCCAGCTGCGTTCTGGCGAGGTTTGTTACCCTCCCATTGGGAAGACTGGGAAAGTCAGCAGATCAACCATTTCAGAGCAGCTGTGTTTACTTCAAGCTAGCCAGGTTAGATTCTGGTGGGACTGCATCTGTTGAGTCCCAGGGTTTGTAATCCAGTGCCTTAAAAAGTGGGATAATCTCTGTTGGTGGTCAGGCTGAGGTTAGCAGCAAGGTGGCTCCTGGGAAATAGAAGTTTTAAGAGACAAATGTGAGTCGTGAGCGGGCTGGTTTGTGGTGTGGTGCTCAGGTAGTGCTGTGAGTGATTTCCTTCTGTTTCCCAGGCTTTGTATGAGCTGGTGAAATGCAACTTCAATGCAGAAGAGGCGCTGCGAAGGTTACGGTTCAACGTGAAGGTTATCAGAGGTGAGGACCCCCCTCATTTGGGCTCATCAAGGCACATGCAACTCTTTCTAGATTCTGCACATCTCCCTCAACTCTTTCTTTCTGCTACAGATGAGCTTTGTGCCTGGAGTGAGGAAGAATGTAGAAATTTTGAACATGGCTTTAGGGTCCATGGGAAAAACTTTCACCTTATCCAAGCAAACAAGGTAAGGCTGCTCCCCCCAGGTGAGGAGCAGGGGAAGGAGGCAGGTGCTTGGGCACCAGAGGTGTGCTCTGGGCCTCGGCTGACACAGGCAGTTCAGGGTGGCCGAGTTCCAATCCCAGGCTTTGTGTTGACTCATGCCAGCAGGTGATGGGCTGTTCACTGCCCTGCTCTGCCTTATTTTCCAGGTGGGAGAAGTCACAAACACCACTGACCTGCATGAGTGATGTCAGTTAATTACTGATTAGCCCTTTCTGGAGTCTCAAAAGTTCTTTCCAAACTCTCAGCCCTTGCAGTACTTCTGTGAATGAGTGAGTTGAGCATGTGGATGTTTCGTAAAGTCCCCTGGGGTCCTCTAGAATGGCAGATGCTGTTGTAGGGAGAGCTGGGCCCCGGGACATGCTGCTGTGCTGGGAGTTGGCAGAACCAGAGAGTCCAGTTCTACCACTGGTTAATTGTAGGCATGTTGACGCTGGCCAGTGACAATGGATGCAGGTTTGCTCTCTCTGCTAAGTGTGCTGCTGCTGGAAGCACAGGAAAGTCCTGCACGAGTGTGTGTGGCCCACACGGGTCTGTGACAGCAGCTGTGTGCTGTGGGGAGTTCTTTTCTCTGGCCACCTCGGAAACCTCAGTACGTGCTTCTGTTCTGCAGCAATGTGTCCATAGCAATGTAAATCTCTGTAATGCACTTCTAATTTTCTGTGCTGGTTAAATGGGAAGATAGCTCCTTGCTCCAGGAGATGCACCTGGATGGGTGTGCCTGTCCTGACTGGGGTGTTTCTCCTCAGGTCCGCACGCGGTCGGTGGGCGAGTGCGTGGAGTATTACTACATGTGGAAAAAATCCGAGCGTTACGACTACTTCACTCAGCAGACTCGTCTCGGAAGGAAGAAGTACGTCCTCCACCCTGGAGCCACGTGCGTGGAATATTCTCACACTAAAATTAGTAATATTAACCTCCCAGTGAAGATTCCTGCTGCAAAGCACCTCCGCTTAACAGACTGCGCTTTCTTCTCCAGAAGGTTTCTCGGGTGGGAGGATGGAGGGATGCACGGGGTGTGCTCAGAGCACAAACACTCAGTTGGTGTGGGGAGGGAAGATAAAACAACCGTGGACTTCCTTTTCCTTTTCTGTGTGTCAAAAGCAGTTTTGTTTCAATCAAATGCATCCACAAAAGACTGGGGACAGGGATTCAGAGCTGACTTGGTGAAAGAGCTCAGTTTGATGAGGTTTTGAGAAGGGAGGTTTTTAAATTCAAAAATGCACTTATTTCTGGTGGTTTGGAACCTGAATTAATTTCCCTTTGAGGCAAATTCTTCCCTTTGAAATGTATGCTAATTACAGAAGGTACTTTTCAAAATACACCTTTTCAAAAAGGTTGAAACGGAAATCTCTTAATAGGTCAAAATGAAATATTGAAGCTGAATCAATTAAAAACATCAGATGAAGGCTTAGATTTTTTTTTTTCCAATTCTGATGCAACACAGGAAAATACCTACAATTTTAAATCTTCCCAGGGTGGGAAAATATATTCTCATCACTTGCTCTTTGCTGGCACACTTATGACCCACTGCAGTCACTCCATGAAACTGGATGTTCCCATGTATGTATTTCCCTTTGGAACAGGCTGAGGCTCACAGAACTGGGGGCAGAGCTCTTTAGGAAACTGGAGAGCCCATTTTGGTTTATCATGGGCTGGTCTTGGCCACACTGTTGCCTGAGATCACCTCCTCAGGGCAGAGTCTAAACCAGGCTCTGCAGAGCAGGGAGGGACGGACATTCATTCTAGTGATTTCTCTACAGTCCTGTTGCTTTATTTGTTGATGGGTTTTAATCCCCATCACCCTTTCTTCTGCCTGCACCTCTCTGCTCAGCAGGTGGTGGCAAGGCTCTCTCTCTTTCCCCACAGGGATTTCACTGACAATGACCTGGATGGGGTTGAAGTGGAAAACACGAGTCGTTCTCGGAGCTCCCCACCAATTCCCTCTGCAGCTGGCTGCCTGGATGCTCACTTTGGTCAAGATCAGATAGCAATTGAGAGCACAGGTAACTCTTTTTTATCCATCTGCCAGGGAGTTTTGGTGTCAGCAGAAGCTGACATTGTCTTGTCTCTGCAGTGACCAGAGGTGACTTTATAAAACAGTTGTTCCTGTGTTGGGCTTAGAGGGGTGGCCTAGGTCACTCCCAAAACAAAAGGATTGTGCACTGGGCACCTGAATGAGGTGCTTCCAAAGCACTGACACAGGCAGCTCCTCCAGAGGGTGGGTTCAGGCCTCAGAAGTCTGGTGCAAGTTGCTTTCACACAGAGCTGGCTGCGAGAAGATCTGCAGGGAGCCCCACATGGGTTCATTCCCTCACTGTCCTACTGCAGATGAAGGCTTTGTGTGGGCAGCTCCCAGGGGTTGTTGGCACGAGGGGATAGGATTTAGGGTTTGGCTTATCTTGCATTGTGTCTGAGAGGTTTCCTTTAATTTCCATAGAAACACTGATGGCCTCCCATCTGCTGTGGGCATCTTGCCTTCCCTGGGTAGGGGCTGGCGGGGGATCTTGGTTGCTGTGACAAGGAAACACTTGTGCCATCTAATACATACTGTTGGGATTAAGTGGGCCTGACCTGGGTGTGTGGGCATTGTGGACTCACTGTGGCTTTCTCTTCCTTGTCCCTCTCTCTGTTCCCTGCTGGCTGTGCCCCCCTGGGCTGGGCAGAGCCCCTGAGCGTGGAGAGCACGGCCTGCAGCCTGGGCAGCATCAGCGAGTCGGGGCAGGGCTACGAGTGCAGCACCCCCTCGGAGACAAACTGCTCCTTTGACCCCTCGGAGGAGACATCCTCGGGCGCTGTCCCTGTGCCCTGCCCACGCCACACTGCCACCCCCTCTGAGCCCGAGCTCTTTGCTTTGCCACCCGCGGCACCAGGACTGGCAGAGAAGCAGGAGACCTTGCAGAACTCTGGTGAGGCAATAACCATGGACTTCACTCTCCCTGCAGACATTAACGAGGGGTTGCCTTTAGTTGCTGGCCCTGTGGATTTGGACAGAGACCCTGAGGCAGTGGTGGCCCCTGCGCAAGTGTCCTTATCGGTCACAGATTTCGGTCTCATTGGCATCGGAGATGTAAATACTTTCCTGACTGCTCATCAGGCTTGCCCAGCACCTGTGGCTCGGTCAGAGCCTCTGTCACAGTGAGTCACAAATTTGGCACAGACCCAGCAAGGACTTTGACCTGACTGAGTGAAATTCTGGAACTTCCACTGTCCTGTAGGGACAGCTTGGAGCTGTTGGTCGGAATCTGTCTTTCCATCCTCCTCGATCCAAGGCTGCAGTGAAACCAAACACCTTTCTGCTCCAGCGTATCCTGACACAATTGTGCAAAGTGGTGGCTGGCTTTCCTGAGTGGGGAGGTCCATCACCCCCCTCCTGCGCTGGCCGTGTGTCACCCTGGGTGATGCCAGCCTGCTCGGAGAGTCCCTGAGCAGAGGTGCTGTGAGAAGAGGGATGTGTCACCATCATGGTGAGGGTGCAGGCTGGGGGTCTGAGAGCCTGGGAGGGCTGCAGGGCAGTTTCCTGACCTCCTCCCAGCAGCCGTGGCTGGTGACAGGCCGGCACAAGCTGCTTCCCCCTCCAGCAGCCACGTGTCCTGGCACCACCAGCTGCAGGTGGGAGCAGGCCTGGCCCAGCCCTCGGGCAGAAGTGTCAGGTTTTGGAAAGGGATGCTGTGTGTGCAGCAGCATCCTGTGCACTCGAGTTCTTCTCACCTTCCCGTGCACTGCTGGGCCAGGGAGAACTTCTGTGGGGACTAACAGGAGTTTCTAGACTCAGAGTGGTGCTGGCCAGGAGCTGTGCTGCTGCTGCTGGCTGGGGATGACCTGATCTTCTCTGAGCTGAAGTGCCAGAGGGTAGAATGCAGGTGAAGAGATCTGTAACTTCCCAGTTTGTTCCAACAATTTGTCAGCAGAGGGAGGAGGTTGCTTAGCTCCCAGATGCCTGGGATATGGGTGCTAGCACGGTCCCAGGCAGGGGAGCACAGCATCCCTGGGCATCCCTGCCCCTCCCTGTGTCACAGGACAGGCTGTTCTGAGAGGAAAGTGTGACTTTTCTGCCATGTTCAGGGAGGTGCCAGGTGCTGTGCAGAGCCACGGGAGCCTGTCCTTAGGTGTGCTGGAGTCCAAAGCTGCTTCACTCCCCAGGTGTGTTCCAGGGCTGGGATTGGCCACTGGCTCAGTGTGTTCTCATTCTCCTTTTCCCGTGCAGGAAATGCTCTCCACTCACCTGCTGGGCAAGGCTCTGGTGCAGACAGAGCTGTGGTTCCTCCAGATGTGTTCCACAGCTGGGAAGGGGCTTGGGTTGAGGGTTTTGGTGGAGACTTTGGGGCTGTGGCTGTGCACTTGGCTCTGCTGGCAGTGGACTTGGCAGGTACCTAAACCCAGGAGGCTGCATCCTCCTTTTACCTGGCCCTGGGAAGTTGTGCCCAGCCTGCAGCAGGAGCAGGGAAACAGCATCCATGGGATGTCAGGATTAGACCTTGTCTCACTCCTAAGCCCCAGATCTGGTTTGTGTGCTTTAGCAGGGGTTTGCTTCAGTGCCCAGCTCTGTGCTGGGAGGTGCTGAGCCCCAGGCACGTGGAGCTGCCTTCACCTGGCTTGGCTTTGTCAGCCAGATGTGGTGACAGAGGCGTCCCCTGCAGCTGCTCCTGGGAGCAGGAAGCAAACACAGTGCCTGCTCCATAGTGGAACTGCCCAGGCTGTGGTGCCCCTTTTCTGGGGGTGAGAGGAAGCTCCGTGGCTGAAGGGAGAAGAGGAGGCAGGGTGAGAGCACAGGCAGCCCTCCCAGGGAGGGCCAGGCCTTGGCATCTCCTCCATTACTTTTCCTGAAACCATTTTTTTCTTTTGGTTTATTTCAAGCCCTAGTGAAAGGAGGGGAGCTGGCTGAGGCAGAAATCTCTTTATGTCCTTCAGTGTTGTTTACAGATTGCATGGGGTCTTTCAACATGAGTGCAGCGCTTTTTCCACATAACTTTGAGGGAGAGGGGTGAAAAAGGCTGGGACAGGGAGGGGGAGGATGTTTGGTTCTGTTTTTTTTTTTTTTTGGTTTTGTTTTTTTTTTTGGGGTTTTCTTTTTTCCTTCTTACAAAGCACATTCACTTTGAGCTGCTCCCAATGCTGGACTCTTTTCTCCCTTACCCCCCAGCCCTACACTGTGAAGTGACACTGCCTTGAAGGCCCCTCGCCGTTATTTATTTAATTAAAAACCTAATTTGAAAGTGAGCCAGAAGTCTGTCTTCTTTTTGGAGGCCAAGATGCAACAATCCAGTGTATAATAATGATGATGGCAAAATAAGAATGGGGTCCCTGCCTCTGCTGTGTGATCCTCTCCTGCTCTCCACAAGTGCTCTCCTCCAGGATTCCCTGTGCCAGGGATGCCATCCCAGCCTAGGAGGAGGCCCAGAGCTTTTCCCTTGCCATGCTGCAGCTGGAGGGAGCTGTCTGTTGCTCTCACAGGTACCCCAAATCCTCTAAAATCCTGTCAGCCCGTGCAAGGTCTGGGGTGTTGAGAGGCAGGGGTGCACCCAAACTTTAACCAGAAAAAGCTCCTGGAGGCAAGAGGAGTTCCTGCTGCGGCTGGATTGTGTTTCCGGGGCAGGTCCGGGCCCGGTTCGGGGCAGGGTCCGGGGCAGGGTCCGGGGCAGGGTCCGGGCCGGGTTCGGGGCAGGGTCCGGGCCGGGTTCTGGGCAGGGTCCGGGCCGGGTTCGGGGCAGGGTCCGGGTAGGATCCGGGCCGGGTCCGGGCCGGGTTCGGGCCGGGTTCTGGGGCAGGGTCCGGGCCGGGTTCGGGGCAGGGTCCGGGCCGGGTTCCGCAGCCCCCGGGATCCCGGGCCGGGGCCGGGCCGGGCACCGCAGCGCCCCGGGATTCCCAGGAAGGGTTCGGGGCAGGGTCCGGGCCGGGTCCGGGCCGGGTCCGGGCAGGGTCCGGGCCGGGTTCCGCAGTCCCCCGGGATCCGGGGCAGGGTCCGGGCCGGGTTCGGGGCAGGGTCCGGGCCGGGTCCGGGCCGGGATCCGGGGCAGGGTCCGGGCCGGGTCCGGGCCGGGATCCGGGGCAGGGTCCGGGCCGGGTCCGGGCCGGGATCCGGGGCAGGGTCTGGGCCGGGTTCGGGGCAGGGTCCGGGCCGGGTCCGGGCCGGGTTCGGGGCAGGGTTCGGGGCAGGGTCCGGGCCGGGTTCCGCAGCCCCCGGGCCCGGCTGCAGTGCGGCGCTCGGGCAGCAGAGGGCGCCGCAGCGCCGCGCCCGGGACCCGCCCTCGCCCCGGGGCCGCGCCCGGAGCCGCCGGACTCGGCCCGGACCCCGCGACACCCCCGGGCCGGTACCGGGCCGGTACCGGGCGGCACCGCCCGCAGCCTCGGATCCCGTGGGGCACAGTCGTGCGGGGCCGTGCGGAGCTTCCCCTGCGCGCTCCAGCGCGGGGGGTCCGTGCCGTGTCCTCGGAGCCCCGCGCTGTCACCTCTGTGTCCTCAGGGTGGCCCGGAGCCCTCCCACACCCATGAGGAGGGGGAATTATCAGCGGTGGGACAGAGCGTCTTGATCTTCTCCACCTTCCTCGAGGCTCTCAGTTGTTTGCCTGGGGTCTGCAGGCAGCATGTGTGGGGTAAATCCTGCCCAGCGGTGTGCCAGGGCCCCCGTGGCACTGGAGGGCAGGAGGAAGCTGCACCGGGGCACATCAGGGCAGGGAAAAGCCAGCCCGTGATTCTGTCCCTTCTCCTGAAACTCCAGGGTAGCCCGAGAGCGTTTGCAGCTCTCGGCTTCCCACAAACAGCCTTGACATTCTCCGCAGGCCGCTCACGCTGCGCTTCAATCAGCCGCAGTTATCAGCCATGGGTGGTTTCTGTGTTATTTGTTTCCTTCCCGACATCCGGCATGGAGCAAACAGCCGGGCTGCGACTGTCCCTGCTCCCACCAGAAAATTACTGTGGGACCTGTGCTCCAGCCTTTGCTCCTGTCCCCATTCTGGGTTCCAGCATGTCCCCAAACCCAACGGGAAGCACCGGGAGCCCCCAAGAGGCTCAGGAAATCCAGCCCAATGTCTCCGCGGGTAAATCAGCTCCTGTCCCACCCTCCGTGCTCACACCGGTGTCTGCTGCATCCTGGACGTCCCCGCTTCCCCTCAAGAACCACCGAGCCAGCCTCACATCTGCTCAACCAGCGCAGCCAGCACGTTTCAGGGGCAGAATTCTCCTTTTTGTCCCTTTTTTTCTCCTCAGGACATAGGCCCGAGGCGGGTGGGACTCGGGCGGTACCGAAGCGACCTCGCTCGTTTTCTTCTCCCCCTTCCCCTCGGCGCAGCCACGGGAGGAGCCGAGCCGAGGCGGGGAGCCGGGCCAGGCGGGGCGGGCACCGGGGGACTCGGGAGGGCCGGAGCGGCGGAGGCCGGAGCGGGGCCCGAGGAAGCGGCGAGGGGCGAGGGGGTCTGGCTGCAGAGGGGTCCCTGCCCTGCCCCGCCGCGCCCCACACCTGCCCCGGCCCCGCCGCTCCCGCCCCGCCCCGGCCCTGGGCGGGGGCACCGGGTCCGGTCCCGCCCCGCCCCGCCCGGACTTTACCTCCCGGCCGGGCCCGCGCCGTTCCGGGCCATGTGAGCCGCGGGGCCGGGCCGCGGGGCCGCAGGGCTGCGGGATGGAGCGCAGGAAGGTCTTCGTGGCGCTCGACGTGCTCTGCCTGGCGGTCGGTGAGGGCTCCGTCCCGGCGCCCCCGCCGCGGGCGGCTCCGGTGCGGCTCCGCGTCCCGCCGGTGCCCTCGGTGGGGCTGGGCTGGGGCCGGGGCGGGGTCCGCGGGAGGTACCGGGGGTCCGCTCTGGCCCCTGGCCGGTGCTGCCGGGCCGGGGGCGGCGTGGCAGGCACCTGCCCGGCCGGTGCCCGGGGCTCCGGGCCTCCACCGGGAACCACCGGCGAGGCGCGGGCGGGCTGCGCCTCCCGCCCCAGCCCTACCGGGCTCGGCCGGGGCCGTTCCCGTTCCCGGCACGGTCCCACGGCGGGCTGGGAGCCCGGTGTGCCGCCGGCCGGGACGCTGCGGGAGGGTCCCTCGGCTCGGGCGGCACCGGGACGGTTCCGCCGCCGCCCTGGCCGCCTGCCCGCCGCCGAGCCCGGCGCTCCGCGGGGCCGGTGGGTTCGGAGCGCCCCTTCTCGGACCCCCTCTGCCCCCCTCCAGTGCTGGGAAATGTTTCTAAAACTGCCGCGAGGAAGTAACGAATTAAGACGGACTAAAAATAAAGGCCCGGATCGGGATCGCGGCTGGAGCTTCCCCGGCTGCGGGGCGGGGGGAGGCCGCGTCCCGGTGCCGCTCGGAGTGCCTTTCCCTCCTGCGGGCCGGTGCTTTATATTTTTAGGGGAGCTTTTTTTGGAGGATGAAATTATCCCGAAAGAAAATTGGTGTCTAATTTGAGCTGAAAATGGACGTCTGAGGTGCGCGGGGAGGAGGCGGAGGAGGGGCTGGGGCCGCTTCCCTGCCCCGGCAGCGCGGCGGGGCAGCCCCCGGTGCTCCTCGGGGAGCGCGGGAGGCGGCGGGACCCCCGGCCGGGGACAAAGGTGCGGGCTCCCGGGAGACGGAGGAGCGAGGGGAGGCGGAAACCACCGGGAAAGGCGGAACTGGGAGAAGAGCCCGGCCTAAGGTGCCTCCGGGGAGCGTCCTGGAGCCCGTCCTTGGCTGCTGCTGAGCAGGGATGGAGCAGGGCAGGGGGCCCATTCCAGCGGGGGGCTGGCACGGCTGCTGGGTGGCGCAGAGACCCCAAAATCCCTCTGGATTTCCAGGGCAGTTCCATCCTGGCTGAGCTCGCAGCTGCCCGTGGTTGGGGCTGCAGCGTGCTGGATGGAAAATCCTCCTTGCCCAGGCTGACCCAGCCAGCACAGCCTCTCCCCAGTGCCCCGAGGAGCCAGGGCAGAGGAGAGGCTGACAGAAACAAGGGCTGTGGGAGGATGAGGGGAGCAAGTCACTGGACTGGGTCGTGTTCAGCATCTCCCAGCACTGGCTCTCCTAGAGCTGCTGTGAGGGATCATCTGGGGGCCCTTCCCTGCTGTAAAACAGCTTTACAAGATGCCTGTGCTCATTAATTTTATCAGCTCTGTTTTCCTAGGCTGGGCAGTGTGAGGAGAGGGCACAGCAGGATCAGGCCTTGCCACTGTTGTGCCTGGGGAGGAGTGGGGCAGCCGTAGAGGCTCTGTGGGTGCCCGTTTGTGGCTGTCTCGTGTGGTATCTGGGTGCTGCAGGCATCTGGGAGCTCTGATAGGGCCCTATCGCTCTCAGGGCAGTGCTCTGGTGGGTTCAGGTCCTCCTGCCCTGGGTACAGGTGGCTCAGGACTTCATCCCAGGGGGATCCCTGCCTGGCATCGGGGAGCAGAGACACAGAGATGAGAGATGGGTGGTGCTGCGTGCTGCTGTGGAGCCTGCTGGCTGCTGTCCCCAGTCCTCACCTCTCTCTGCCTTGCAGCGTCTCTGCCCTTCGTCATCCTGACCCTGGTGAACTCCCCCTACAAGAGAGGCTTCTACTGCAACGATGACTCCATCCGCTACCCCTACAAGGCAGACACCATCACCCACGGCCTCATGGCTGGGGTCACCATCAGCTGCACTGTTGTCATTGTAAGGAGCTGCCACCCCCTTTCCTCCCGAGCAGGGTCACACTGACTTGTTGTATCTGGAAGCTGGGGCTTGGGACAGCCACCTCCAGAGCCCTGGAAGGGCAGCAACACCCTCAGCTTGAGCCGTGCTCTGCTTGAGGGCAGGAGCTCCCACTGGAGTGGTGTGAGCCACATCCCATGGGACTGGTTCCCTGCAGGGAGGGGGAGAGGGCCCGTGGGCTCCTGTGGCAGGGAGATGCCAGAGGCTGCTCTGCCACAGAGCCAGAGCATCCTGCACGCCTGGGGAGCTGCTCAGTAGCCCCCAACCCTCACCTCCTCCCCCTGGTCTCTGCAGATCTCATCAGGAGAGGCGTACCTGGTCTACACCGAGCGTCTCTACTCCAAGTCAGAATTCAACAATTACCTGGCTGCCCTCTACAAGGTGGTTGGGACCTTTCTCTTCGGGGGGGCCATCAGCCAGTCCCTGACTGACCTGGCCAAATACATGATCGGCCGGCTCCGGCCCAACTTCCTGGCTGTCTGCAACCCTGACTGGTCCAAGGTGAACTGCTCCATCTATGTGCAGCTGGAGAATGTCTGCCAGGGAGAGAGCAGGAGCGTCACCGAGTCCAGGTGAGCCGTGGTGCCGCAGGATGTGGCTCTTCTACCTGCCCAGCAGTGCTGAGCTCATGGTGGCAGCCCCAGATGGGTATTGAGGCTCTCCTGTTGCAGGGCAGAGCCTGTGGAGTGGGCAGGGATCTTGTGGGGACCAGCTGGGGGCTCGCACATGGCCTGACCCACCCTTTTTGCCCCACAGGCTGTCCTTCTACTCAGGACACTCTTCCTTTGGGATGTACTGCATGATGTTCCTGGCGGTGAGTGCCGTGCCACAGGAAACCCCCACGTGTGCCATGCCCCAAACACCCCATCCCTGGGCTGGCTGCTGAGCCCTGCCCGGGCTGATTTCTCCTTCTTTGCCCCCCAGCTGTACGTGCAGGCCCGCCTGGTGGGGAAGTGGGCCCGGCTGCTGCGTCCCACCATCCAGTTCTTCCTCATCGCCTTCGCCATCTACGTGGGCTACACCAGGGTGTCCGACTACAAGCACCACTGGAGCGACGTGCTGGTGGGGCTGCTGCAGGGGGCTCTCATTGCCGTCCTCATTGTGAGTGTCCCCAGCGCAGCCCGCTGCTCGGCCGGGCTCCTGCATCCCAAAAAACATCTTTCCCCTTGTTCCTTCCCAGGTCCGCTACGTCTCTGACTTCTTCAAGGCCCGTCCCCCACGGCAGCGTGAGGAGAAGGACCCGGAGCGCAAGCCCAGCCTGCCCCTCACGCTGAGCGAGCCCGAGCACAACCACTACAGCTACCGGGGCGCCCCGTGAGCCCCGGCCCCGCCGTGCTCCTGCCTCCGGGGACAGCTGCCTCTGGGCTGCCCACGGCCTCCACGCCTCTGGTGCCTCTGGCTGACACGAGTGGGACAGCCCTGCCTGCTCCCCGTGCCCGTGGTGCTGTGGGGCCGGGTGATGCCAGCGCCCTGCCCGTGGGGAGGGGATGTCCTCTCCCCCCCAGAGTCACGCCCCAAGGCTGCTGTCCCAGCCCTTCGTGCGGAGGGAGGGGAGGGTGGCACGTGGGGGTGGATTTATTGGGCTGGCAAAGCACACAGAGCGAAGAGCAAACTCCTCAGGAAGTCTGAGATTGCCTGGGCCGAGTGTGTGTTGTCCCTGTTTAATTATCCAGCCACACAAGTACGAATCCTCACAGGCGTAGAGGGAGCAGGACAGCTTCTGGGCTAGCTGGACTTCTTTGGGAAGGATTAAAGCAATCCAGAGCTCTTCTCTGCTCCACTGGTTACCTTTAAGAGCAGTCCTGCCCGCCAGCAGCTGCTGTGAGCAGAGGGTGCCTGGGCAGGCTCTCCTCTGCCTGTGCCCAGTTCTGCAGTGCTGGGAGCCAGAGCTGTTTGCCCCCTGCCTGCTTCACGCCTGGCTTGGGCAAGGGGCTGCTGCTCCAGCCTTTGTCCCTCCTGCAGCTTCAGCTGATGCTTTAGGGTGTGTGGTGGGGCTAGGGAGATATTTTCTGTGGTAAAGGAAAACAAATGGGGATGTGGAGCTGTCCAAATGTCCTGGGAAAGGGGGGCAATGGGTACAGAGCAGTCCCATCACTGACACGTGGCTGCCTCCAGCACTGCAGTGCTGTGGGTCTCTTTTTAAAATACATTCATTTTCATTTTCATGTTGTTTTTAAATTAGATCGTTCTTAAGGAACGTCTGTGTCAGGCCTGTTCTCTTTTTTCGTGGATGCTCCTGGCCTTGGAGTGGATGGGCTGAGGTGTTTGGGGTTTCCTTTTCCTAGAGAAAGGTGTCTGAAGCCCCTCGGCTGTAGGTGGGGGCTGTCAGGGCTGGCTGCTGAGCCATTCTCCCAGTTTCACTGGGAAAGGTGGGCTGGACCTCGAGCCTGTGATGCCTGTGAGGTGTCACATTCACGGGGCTGTGCTTTGAGCTGAAGAAGAGCTGTGGCCAGCCTGGGGCTCCAGGAGCCAGCCCAGCCCAGGCAGGTCCATCCTGGCACTGCCTTTGATCCAGGAGCCTCCTGCACTCCCCAGCATGGCAGCCCTGCTCTGCGAGGGAGGAGGGAAACAGGGAGAGGCTCTTGGAAAAAGTGACGCTTTGAGCCTGCAGCTCCCTTGGCTGCCCCAGCAGCTGAGCAGAGGGAAGGCAGGGAGGGAGCTGGGAGCCTTGGAACGGCTGACCCGAGTCCCTCTGCTGCTCAGGGGCTGTGCTGGGGACAGGTGACAGGGCCAGCCTGGGGCCACAGGGCCTCCTGACTGCTGGCAAGAAACGAGGGGCACTGGGAGGCAGCAGCCTGGAAGCCTGAGGGTCCCCCCAGTCCCTTTTGGGGGTGGGATGGGCAGTCCCAGGGTCGGTGAGTGCAGCTCCTGTGTCCTGCTGGGAGCAGCAGGAAGCCCTGGGCTGGCTGTGTGGTGTTGATGTGCTTGTGCAGTGTGGGTGACTCCAGTCTAGACAAGCCCTGATCAAAAACAACCTCCCTGTGTGGAGGGAACTCCCTTTCCCTGACGCTACTTTTCTGTTTTCCTCTGGATCTTTCTTCCCACAAGTACTTACTTCCCTGCACCCCCAGCAGGGTCCTTCCCCCATCCCAGCCCTCCAGGCTGGTTGTTTAATATCTGTTGGTGTAAAACAAAGCTGGAGGAAGTGCCCGGGCAGGGCAGCTCTGCCGCAGGGTTTGCAAACAAAGCTCTGCAAAGGCTCAGCAGCTCCTGGAGTTGGGCAGTGAGGCACAGCCCAGCTTTGGGAGCTGCCTGCTTGATTTTCCTTCGGCCTGGCAGTGCCCAGCAACTGCCCCAGTTCCTGGCACTGCCTCGACAGCTCCTCTGCACAGCCAGGAACGTGCCTGCTCCCTTCCCTGGAGATCTGATTGCGCCCCTTGGATGCATCTCTGGAAAAACCAGCCAGGCCACAATGCTGCAGTGTGTGGCTTCCAAGGGCAGGGCTGGCTGTGCGTGTTGGGAGCTTGGCTGCTCCATCCCCCCGCTCACAGCTGTGCCCTGCTGCGGGATGGGCTGAGACCTGACCAAGCTCGTGGCATGCCAAGCCACATGTAAGCTGCAGGAGCTCCCAGGCCGTGTCCAGGCACAGCAGCCTGCTCCAGGTGTGCTCCTTCACCCGTCTCTGGAGGGACAGCCCCTGCTTGGCAAGGGGCTCTGTGCTGGCTCCTCAGCGCCAGGGGTGCCAGCAGAGCAGCTGGGGAAGCCAAAGCAGGTCCCTTGTGTGCTGTGAAGTTTGGGATCCATCCTAAACCTGGCTGTGGCTGAATACCACAGCACCGACCGTGCTGCTGCAGCTTCCAGCTGGACCCTGCTGCCTGGAGGGTCTGAGCCCCTGGAGAGGCTGGGTTTGGCTCGTGGGAGGCTGCTGCTGCTCTTGGGAGCTGAGGAGAGGGGAAGCAGGGTCTGGGGGCAGGGTGAGGCCTGTGTGTCTCTTTTGTGGTTCAGGGCTGGAGCTTGTACCTCAGCGGATGGGTCAGAGCTGTTCAGAGCTCTGTCCATCCTGTTTGGCGAGTCCCAGGAAGCCCCTCTGGGGTCAGGGTGACTCGTGGCCCTGGGCAGTGTGGTGACTTGAACTGGAGTGTCCACCCTGTTCAGTGGGTGACTCGGGAGCCGGGGATGCAGCCCTGCTTGTGCTGGGGCAGATTTTGCTGCAGGCTGCAGCCAGGCATGGCTGGGACCTGATGAGAGCCGTCCTGTTCCCCGGCGTCAGCAGCTCCACGCACCGAGCGCTCTGCCAACACGCCTCCCTTCCAAAATAAGCTGCTTCTGGCAGCACACAGCCAGGATCTGGCTTCCAGCCCTGCTCTAGAGGGGGCCTGGAGCTGCCTCCCCCAACCTGCGCCTCCTGGCTGCTTCCCACCGTGCCACGCAGCATCCTCCCTCCCTTCTCCCTGGCACCTGGGATTGTGCCGATTCCACGGGCTTGGATCGCCCCGGCCCCATCCCCGAGTTCCTCCTCTCTTTTGGCTTCTTTTCCCGGCTGAGCGGGGCAAGAGGCGGGCGAAGGGGCTGAGCTGCTCGGTGCCTGCAGCAGCTTCCAGGAGCGGGCAGCGGCCCTGCCAGGAAGGATGTTACTCATCCCCTAAACATCCCCTGCCCTGGACGGCAGCCACGGGAGATGCCGCGGCCAGATGCGCCCGCGGCTCCGGGGCCTGAGGTGGCCCCGGCTCGGGGATGTGCTGGGGGACACCGATGCCATCGCACCCTGGGGTGGGATGCTGGCAGCCCCCAGGCCGCGTGGGCCTTTCCCCCTCAGCGTGGCGTGCTCAGGGAGGCGGTGGGTGCCGGAGCAGGACACGCGGTGGGGACAGCAGGGACAGAGTCCGGGCTGGGGTCTCCGAGCGGTCCCGGGGCACCGGCCGGGAGCGGGCACCGTCCCGTCCCGTCCCGCCGGGGCGGCAGGGGGCAGCAGGAGCCCGGCCGAGCCTCCGAGCGGAGCCCCGGTGCCCCGGCCGGAGGAGCCCCCGGTGTCCCGGCCGGAGGAGCCGCCGGTGCCCCGGCCGGAGGAGCCGCCGGTGCCCCGGCCGGAGGAGCCCCCGGTGCCCCGGCCGGAGGAGCCCCCGGTGCGGCAGCGCCGCCGCCCAAGCTCCGGTGCCCCCGCGCTGCCCGGCCCGGTCCCATCCTGCCGGGACACTGCGAGGAGCCAGATGCTCCCTCCAACCTCTCTCCTCCTCCTCCTCCTCCTCCTCCTCCTCCTCTGATCCCCCCAGCGCTGCCTCCCCCACTCCCTTTAATCGACGTTTCCGCTGAAATGCGCCGGTTCCACGGATTTCTTTGATCTCGCTAAGGGAAGAAGGGAGCTATAGAAGAAATTAAATCGGCGCAGAAGGAGGGAAGGGGAGAGGAAAGCACTCTCGGGGGAGGTTGTTAAATGTCGCCTCTTTCTCACCAGAGCACCAGGCGAGAAAGAACCCCTCCTCGCCCGTGCCTGTCCCGGGTCACCTGCGCCTGGCGCTGGCCGGGGATGCCCCTGGGCAGGGCAGGCGCTGGGGTGGCACCGCTGGGGTGGCACCATCCCCGCCGGAGCCTCGCTGGCATGCGGGGAGCTGGCAGGCGTGCCCGGGGAAGCAGCCAGAGGGTACGAGCAGCAGTTTTGTTTCCTGCCGCTTGCCAGGTTCCGCGCAGAGCTGCTCAGGGGAAGCGCTTGGCAGCCGAGCCCCGGGCCCTGCGGGGTGGCTGGATCCCCCCACCGGCCCTGGCTGCTGCCCAGGGGCACCTCTGAGGGGTGAGGGAGGTGTTCTGGGTCATTTCCTACCGAGCCAGCGCTGCACCGCCGCGCTCCCGGGGGCTGCAGGTGCCTCCGGTCACGGCAGGGCTGGCCCCGGTGCCGGCCGGTGTCTGCCGCCGGGAGCTGAGCGCTGCCCGCCGGGCACCGACCGCGCTGTGAGCCGGTTCCTCGCCTCTCCCCGGCCCCTCTGCCCGTGCCGGGATGCACAGTGAGAGCAGCCGCGGTGATGGGTGGCACTGCCAGAGCCTGGTACCAGGGACGGGACAGAGGGGAGGACACAGAGGTGGCACTGACAGGACTTTCCTCATCGGTGCTGGAATGGTGTTTGCCCACCCCTGCCAACATCCTGCAGCCGGGAGGGACAGCCCAGCCTGTCCCCAGTCCCATATCCTGAATGCCTGAGGCCTCTCCAGCTCAGCACAGAGCTCGGGGCTGCTGCAGGGGGCTGTGCCTGGGGCAGAAGGGATCAGCAGGATCCTTCCAGGGCCCTGGCTGGGGTCCCTTCTTCTTTGGTCTCTCCACTCAGCCAGGCCCTCACATGTCTGGGCCCCCTCAGCCCCATGGTGTAATGCTGGGAAGCAGAAGGGCAGGGGGGACAGGATTCCCAGGCTGGGGAGAGAGGTTTAGAACAGACATGGTGCCTCAGTCCAGCCTTCAACTGCCTTTTTTCCTTTTTCTTTTTTTTTTTTTCCTATTTTAATATTTTGCCTTAACATGACCTTGGCCAAATTATTTCCCCTCTGTTTGAGATTTATGGGCCTCTTCCAGAAATGATCTGTTCTGTCTACGAAAATAGACATCGTGCTGTTATTACATTTTAAAATATAATAAGGCTTGGGAGACTGCTCTTCTGCTGCTCTCCCCAGCAGCTCCCCTCTCTCTCCAGAGCACAAACCCCACTGGTTGCAGGTGTGGGGGCAAGAGTGGTGCAGTGAGAACAGGGGGATCCCAGCCCCAGAATGGGGCAGTCTCTCCCTGTCTGCCCTCAGCAGAGCTGCAGTAACGGGAGATCTCCCATCTGAGATCGCTGCTGCTCTCAGAAAATCCCGGGAACAGACTGGGCAAAATGGGGCTAAACGAGCTGGGCTTCCCACGGTGGGACTGAGGGCGATCCCCGACTCAGTCAAGGCAGCAGAACCCGGCTGGAAGCTGGAAATTCCTGCTCCCAGCCCGAGGGACCAGCACAGCCCATCACCCGCAGGAGTGCCGAGTGCTTGGGCAGGCGCAGGGTGGCCCTTGCACAGCCCTGCTCTATCTCAGTGGGTTCGCTGAGGTTATGGTTGTTATTGTTCTTTTCTTCCAGGGGCTGGAGGCAAGTTCCAGTCGCTGAGGAGGGGCTCTGCTTGTCCCAGCTCTGCGGGACAAGCGTCAGTGGCCAGCCAGGGTCTGTCCCATGAGCTGAGCCATCGCTGCCTTTGGAGGCGACAGGAGCACGAGGATGGAGCTGTGCTGAGGAGGAAAGGGCTGCTGGCCTGTTCCTGGATTAGGGTTAAAGAGGGGGAGAGGCTCCTCACAGCTGCTGCTCCTCAAATGTTTTATTTCCTGCTCAGTGTAAGCCTGGATTGACCTGCAGCAGCAGAAAATGTCGAGCAACCACCGATTTCCCCTGGAAGGAATCGAACCGCCAGAAAACCCACGAGGAAGGGCGAGTGGGTTGTGTGCACATCGGCCTTATGGCTGGAAACACGGGGAGCTCCGGGAGAACGGTGCCAGCGCTGCTGGGGATGCGGGGCTGGTGTAGGGCTCTGGGACAGGACATGGGCGGCCCTTTCCCATCCCAAAGGACGTGGGGTGATGGCAGGGAGCTGGGGGCTGTCACACCCCTTTCCTGGGGCTGAGAAACAGGCCTGGCTCAGGAGCCTTTCCCTCTGGCAGAGGGATGCTGCTGCTCCCGCCATCACACGGTGCAGGGAATTCCCGGTGAGGCGGGACCTGCAGGATGTGTAGGTGGTGTCGGGGTCGTTTATTTTCTTAATAAAAAAATTTAAAAAAAACACCAAAAAACAACAAAGAGGCCGGGGACGGACACGAAAGGGACACGACGACTTCTTGTGTTTACCAGCAAATAACCCCGAAGCCGAGCGGCCGCTGCCCGGGACAGCGGCTCCGCTGCAACCTCCCGGCTCCGTTTTCGGGCAAAGCCGCGGTACCGGGGGCAGGATCCCCGCCGCGGGGCTGCGAGGGGCCGTGCCGCACCCCGCGATCCCGCGTGGGGCGGCGGGAGCGGCCCGTGCCCGGTCCCCTCTCGGTCCCGTCCGGTGCCCCGGCCCCGCAAGGGTTAAACCGCGGCACCGCCCCCTCGTTCTCCGCTCGGCCTCCTTTGATTGACACCCGCGCGCCGGCGGGGCCCGCGCTGGCCAATGGGGAGGCGGCTCCGCGCGCCCCACGTGGGGACGGCCGCTCCCATTGGCTGGCGGCGGGGGCGCTCGCCCGCACGGGCCAGGCCCCACGTGGAGCGGGCGCTCGCGGCCGTTCATTGATCGCGCTCCGCAGAGCGGCGGGGGCGGGGCGGGGCGGGGCTCGGCCCGGCTCGGCTGCGCTCGGCTGGACTCGGCTCGGCCCGGCCCGCCTCGCCTCGCCTCCGCTCTACCGGGCTCGGCTCGGCCCGGCCCGGCCCGCCCCGCCGCAGGGGCGCGCGCCCTGGGGCCGGGGCCGGGTCTGGGACCCGCAGCGCGGTGAGTCCCGTCCTGTTCCGTCCCGTCTTGTTCCGTCCCGTCCCGCCGGTGCGGCCCGGCTCGGTTCGGCTCGCTGTCCGCCGGTTGGGGTCCGGCCCCGCTTAGGGCCGGGTCGGCGGCGAGGCCGGTCCCGCCCCGCGGCCGTACCTGCGGCGGGCGGCGGCGGCGGGGCCATTGTCTGCGCGGCGCGGGGGGCCGGGGCTGGGCGGGTCCGCGGGGCCCGGGGGGAGCCCCGGGGCTCTCGGTGCCCGCGGGAACGGGCGCCGCGGGCGGGGCCGGGGCTCCGCAGGGCCCCGGGCAGCGCCGGGCGGTGACCCCCGGGTTCTTCTCCAGGGCCTGAGCCGGAGCTCGGAGCAGTTTCCAGGCCCTGTCCCGCGCCGGCGGCGGAGGGTCCGGGCCGGTCCGGTGCCGAGGATGTTCCCGCAGAACAGGCCCCCGGTGAGCCCCCGTCCCCTCGCAGCGGTGCCACCCCGGCAGGCCCCCAAAGCCCGGCTCCCCCCGGTGCTGACTAACACACTGCGGGTGATGCTCGGCAGCGATGCTGAGGCTCTTCCCAAAGCGGGTCCGGCCTTTGGGAGGTGCTGGCAGCGGGAGTCACCGGGCTGTGATGGTGGGACGCTGATGGACAGGCGGGGAGCTCAGGAGTGGGGCAGCTGGGTCAGGACAGGCCACCAGCTCTGTGCCATGCCCAGTGCCACCCGTGGTCATGAATCCTTTCTGGCTCAGTGGGCAAACTGATGCTGACAAGGCCCTTGGTGCCTGGTTGTGACCAGTTCCCTCTCCAATAACTCCTTGTGCAACCTCCTGCATGTGCTGCTCTCCCAGATGTGCCCGTAGCCTCTTCCCTGGGTGCAGGAATGGCCTGGGGGATGTGCCAGCCTTGGTGGGCAGCAGCAGTGACCCTGGAGGTCCCATCTCTGCCTAGGCCCATCTCCAGGCACCCTCTGCTGCCTCGGGAGCCGCTGTTGCTGCCAGTGCCATCCCCAGCACCCCCCAGTCCCTCAAGCTGACTTACCCAGAGACCTTGGATCGCATCAAGGAGGAATTCCAGTTCCTGCAGAACCAATACCACAGGTGAGAAGCTGCCAGAGTTCACATGCCAGCTTGTGAACTGGGCGCTTCACTGGTGCTGGCCAGCAACAGGCTCCTCTTGGCACTGGGCAGCACCATCCTGTGTGGCTGCTGGACTGGTCCCTCCAGAGGATGGCTGTGCCAAGCATCACCTTGGTAGCTTGAAATGACTCTGTTGGAGGGCAAAACTCAACCTTAGCCTGCCAAAAGCCCTGGGAGGAGGGCACCCAGTTCCTGGGCTGAGCCAGAGCCATCACTTAGACCTGGAGTCCCTCTGATCCGTGAGGTTTCTCCCCAGGATCACCTCCCTTTCCTCACACTGCACGGGGCAGAGTGAGGTTTGAAATGCAGCTAAGCTTTGCAGCTCACTCCATTTGGGAAGCAGATGCTGGGGAGGGGGTTAAGAGTCCATGCAAATTGCTCCCTGATGCCCAACACCCTTTGGTGTCCACCTCCTCTTTATCAGCCCCTTCCTGCCCTCTTTCAGGTGGTTTTCTTGGCTTGTGCTGGGAGATGGCATTGAAGCTGAGAGGAGGCTGAAGTGTGTGATACTGGGAGGGCTCGTGCTCTGTCCAGCCAGGGACATCCTGTCACTTGGGAGGACCAAGGGGGGTTGCTCCTTCTCCCTCTCTCTCTTTATTTTCACAGCTTGAAGTTAGAATGTGAAAAGCTGGCAACAGAAAAAACAGAAATCCAGCGTCATTATGTCATGGTTAGTGAGCTCCACCTGAAAGGAGAAGGGTGGTGTGGGATCTCCTCTGAACCATCAAAGGACACGCAGGGATGCTTTGCCTTCCCCTTGCTTTTGGGTTGTGTGGCCAGACCCTGAGATCTGGTTCCTGTGGCTGTTACTGTCTGGTTTTCCCCCAAAAGGGGCTGTGGTGTTCGAGCAGGACTTTCTGCCTCAGCTTGTGGTGGCAAATGTGCTCCTGTGTGGGTTGCCCCATTGCTGCAGGAGTCCTGGGAGGGCTGTGTCCATCCTGGGGGCTGCAGCCATGTGCCAGAGACACCTCTGCTGCTGGGAGAGGAGCTGGGGACCGTGCTGTCCCCATGGCCTGGCCACACCACGGCTGTTTGTGGCCAGGCTGACCTGGTGTGCCAGCACCACAGAGGAATTTCTGCTTGGGAGCTGCCCTGGTCTCCAGAGCCGTGCTGATGCTGCCTTCTCTCCCTCACAGTACTACGAGATGTCCTATGGCCTGAACATCGAGATGCACAAGCAGGTGAGTCTGGGTGGGCTGGCAGCTCTGTCCACCTCCTTGGTCCCAGCTCCCTGGCCCCACTTTGCCATCTGGGCTCTTTGGGGCTGTCCCCACAGACACCCTGGGAAGCTGCTCCCTGCTGTAGCCCAGGGAGCCCAGTGTTTGTGGGGGATGTGTCCCCTTCCCTGTGCTTTGTGTTGCTCTGTGCCATGGCCGTGGCTGCTTCCTTAGGTCCCCACACACGTCTGTGCTCTGGTTTCGGGCTCAGGGTGCCCTGCTGGACTGTGATGGTCTCGTTGTGTCAGGCAGAGAGCGGTGCTGGAGGATTTGTGCTTGCATGGCTGCTCACAGTGGTTAGGAGTGGTCACGGGGGGACTGTTGGGAAGGAGACTGGCTTCCTCCTCAGGGCAAGGTGGGCTGCAGGCTCACAGCAGGCTGATGTGCTGTGGCTCGAGCGCTGTCTGCTGCCCACTGCCCACTGAGGAGCATTCTGAGGAGAAGGAATGGTTTGGAGGTGGGTGCAGGGTGAGCTCTCTGGGGGCTCCGGGCTGCGCATCCTCCCTCGCTGCTTCCCCGTCCCTCCCTCCCTCCCTTCCTCCCCTGTGCCGAGCTCCGGGTCACCAGCTGCTCTGAGACAGAAGGTTTCTTCTCATCTATTTTTAAAGAGGCTGCGGAGGAGCCTGGCGAGGCGCTGCCGCCTTCCTGCCCGCCCCGCGCCCGCCGACGCCAACTGTTGCGCGGGAGCCTCTGGGGCGGCACCGCGGCCTGCTGGCCCCTGTCCCCAGCCCAGGGCGGGCTGTCAGCCCCTCTGCCAGCTCTGTGCCCGCTGCCAGGGCGTTCTGCCGCTCTGGGATGCCCTCCTTGTCCCGGCATCCCTGCTGAGGCTGAGGTGCGAAGCTGCCCTGCTGAGGGACGATGCCCGGCCCGGAGCCTCTCCCTGGAGGGCTGCGAGCTCCTCTCCTCTGGCTGCTGGTTCTCTCCCAAGCCTCCCAGGCTCGTGTTTGCTGCCAGCCCCAGGTGCCGCTGGCTGCAGGCCAGTGAGCTGTCGGCACTTTTAACAAGGGCCCTAAGTCTGCTCTGACAGCCAGCGGCCATTGTGTGGGCAGCGGGAACTGAGGTTAGCGCTGCCCTGGGGGGACTGGGGGCTGCCTCTCCTCCCCTTCCCCCAAATCCTGCACTGCCCACGGGCACAGGCAGGTCCTGAGTGCTCCTGGCTGCCCCAGAGCCCCCGATGGCTGTGGACTGAGGCTGGGCAGTGCTGTACTGTGGCTCTGTCCTTGCTGTCCCCATGTGCTCATCACCAAGGGCCAAGGTGTGGGGTTTGCTCTGGCTTTGTTTGGGGAAAAATGGGGCTGGGGGCTGCCTGTGGTGGTGCAGCTCTCCAGGCAGCCACAGGCTTGGCAGGAGAGGATCAAGACAGGAACGAGCAGGAGATGTTAATATTTTTTTTTATTGTTGCTTTGTTTTTGGCGTGGAAAGGGGCCTGTAGCTTTCTATAAAAGCACCTCCCCGAATCTGCCTGGCCTTGGACTTGCTCACCGCGAGCCAGAGGGGAGGCGACGGTGCTGGTGGCTGGGGGGGCTGCAAACAGCGTGATCATTTTTCATGCTGAGAGCGTTAAAGTGCCAGTAAATTGCACATTAACGAGTGCGAGTGAATTGGAGGCAGCTCTCCCCAAGGAGCTGCTGCCCATCAGTGCATTAGGGAAGAGAATCCATCACTGCCGGCCCCGGGAGACAGCTAAATCCTTCCCAGAACTGCCGGCTGCCAAATCTCCTCGCTCCCCCCTCTTCCTTTCTTTTCTTTCTCTTTTTTCCTCCCTCAGAAGGGGAAGTGAGGGCAGGTGCCAGATTGTTTCTGTGCTTTGGGGCTGGCAAGAGCAGGTCGGCAGCTGCTCTGGAGGGCAGCACAGAGTGTCCCTGGGCCTGTGTCCCCACACCAGCCGTGCCCCCTCACCCTGGCACTTCAGCACCTGCACCAGCTGGGCGTGGGAGATGTGCCCAAGGTCCTGGCAGGGAAATACAGGGGTCAGTTCTGGCCCTTCAGCTTTTGGTCTCATCTGGGGGCTGATAAGGGGGTCTGGGTTCAACCCCCTCCTCTCAGCCCCTGCTCCACGGTGTTGTCATCCTCCCCACCAGGGTGGATAGGGAGCTCCTTGGCGCTTGGGACTGCATCTTACCTGCACCCCTGTGCCCAGGATATCCCCTGCCCATCCAAGAACAGAGGAATCCCTCCCCCAGCTGGGTTTAGGGGCAGCTGCTGATCTCTGTCCCCTCTCTGGGAACGAATCCCCAGCTCCTCATGGGCATCTCTGCTGTTACCTCGAGCAGTGTCTGCTCTCTCGGCCATGAGCAGGGACAGGAGCCTGTCCCCGCAGCCTTTGGGGCATCTTTGGGTTGTGTCTGTGAGGTCTGTGCTCTGCTCTCACCTGAGCTGTGCAGGGTGGGGCTGGTGGGGGCTCTGGAAGCGGGCAGGGGGTGATACAGGAACATGGGGCACTGGAAGCTGGCAGGGGGGTGAAAGGGGAACATGGGGCACTGGAAGATGGCAGGGGGTGATACAGGAACGTGGGGCACTGGAAGATGGAGGAGGATGCCATGGGAACATGGGGCACTGGAAGCTGGCAGGGGGTGCCACGGGAATGTGGCACAGCACAGCACGATGCTGCTCTCCCTCCCTGCGCTCTACGCTCTTGATTGCCTGTGGCACTCGAGTGTAGCAGAAAAACAGCAGCTGGAAGGAGAGCACCTCTCCAGGGCTTCCTCTGGGCTGGGAGGGCGTGGTGCCGGCAGGAGGCTGCTTGGAGGGCAGGGGGGAGCCTGCAGGGGCCATGGCTGCTGGCCTGGGGGCTTGCCTGGGGGTGGCCTCGGTGGCATGGGCCAGAGGGGCTTCATGTTCCTGGCAGAGAGGAGCTGGAAGGGTCCCAGAGCTCTCAGGGTGGGGATGGAGTATGCTGGGTTGTGAAAGAGGTGTTGTTAGGAACAGGAATTGTTGCCCCAGGGTGTTGTTGCTGCCTAGTGCTGAGCAGCAGCCCTTGGGCT